CAGGGAGGCTCTGGACATGAAAACACCAAGCCACTATGAGGACAGCAGTAAGGGGCCATATTTAAAAGAAGTGGATAAAACGAGTGAGGGATGAGATCCTCAGCCCTTTCCCATGCTTATTTATGCCTCCAAAGCAGAATATTGGAAGAGTCCCCTCGGCAAACTGATCAGCCAAAAAGAAAAGAGCTTTAGACACTGACATGGAGTCTTTAAGCACATGTCCAGGTCCCTACCGCCCCATCAGCTTCCAATCAGCTTTCTGGTTATCTCGTTCTTGTGTGTGTACACCTGTTTGCAACTCTCATTTTAAATATGAAAGTACAGAGATCACTGGACTTTGAAGAAAGCCAGAAAAACAGAGACTAAAACTGGCAAAACAAAGCAGGTAAGCTAAGGGGAAAAAATTAGTAATATTCATAGACCAGGTCTCAAACTTGGTTGCACATTAGAATCAACTGGGGATCTTTTCTCTCTCTCTCTTTTTTTTAAGAGAGCACATGCACAAGCAGGGGTGGGGGTGGAGGGGAGGATCAGAGGGAGAGAATCTTTTTTTTTGGTAAAGATTATTTATTTATTTATTTGACAGAGAGATAGTGGGAGCACAAGTAGGCAGAGTAGCAGGCAGAGGAAGAGAGAGAAGCAGGCTCCCCAGTGAGCAGGAAGTCTGACGTGAGGCTCAATCCCAGGCCCTGGGATCATGACCAGAGCTGAAGGCAGCCACTTAACCAACTGAGCCACCCGGGTGCCCCGGGAGAGAGTGATTCTTAAGCAGGATCCATGCCCAGCACAGAGCCAGACACGGGGCTTGATCTCAAGACTCCGACATGACAGTCAAAATCAAGAACTGGATGCTTAACTGACTGAGCCACCCAGGTGCCCGCAACTGGAGATATTTTATTTTATTATGTTTTTAATTTTTTTTAGTTGAGTTCTACACCCAATGTGGGGCTCAAACTCACAACCCTGAGATCAAGAGTCACATGCTCCACCAACTGAGCCAGCCAGGTGCCCCAACTGGAGATCTTTTAAAGAAAAGTTTCTTTGAGTTGCCTGGGTGGCTCAGTTGGTTAAGCATCTGCCTTCGGCTCAGGTCATGATCCCAGGGTCCTGGGATCGAGTCCCGCATCAGGCTCCCTGCTCAGCAGAGAGTCTGCTTCTCCCTCTTCCTCTGTGATCTTTTTCACTTTCACTCTCTCAAATAAATAAAATCCTTTAAAAAAAGAACAAAAATAAAAACATGTTTATTTTTTTTAAGATTTTATTTATTTATTCATGAGAGACAGAGGGAGAGAGAGAGAGAGAGAAGCAGAGGGAGAAGCAGGCTCCCAAGGAGGAGGGAGCCTGATGCAGGACTCGATCCCAGGACCCTGGGATCATGACCTGAGCCGAAGGCAGACGCTTAACCATCTGAGCCACCCAGGTGCCCCCAAAAAATGTTTATTTATTTTAAAGATTTTATTTATTCATTTGAGACAGAGAGATACAGAGAGAGAGATGAGCAGGGGGAGCGATAGAGGGAGAAGGAGAAACAGACTCCCCGCTGAGCAGGGAGCTGGACGGAGGGCTTGATTCCAGGACCCTGGGATCATGACCTGAGCCGAAGGCAGACACTTAACCGACTGAGCCACCCAGGCGCCCCTAAAAACATGTTTTAAAAAAATTGAGGGTGCCTGGGTGGCTCAGTTGGTTAAGCGACTGCCTTCGGCTCAGGTCATGATCCTGGAGTCCCGGGATCGAGTCCCGCATCGGGCTCCCTGCTCAGCGGGGAGCCTGCTTCTCCCTCTGACCCTCCCTCCTCTCATGTGCTCTCTCTCTCTCATTCTCTCTCAAATAAATAAATAAATAAAATCTTAAAAAAAAAAAAGTACCTAAGGTCAGATCACTCAGGGCCTCCCAGGCAATAAGACAGTTGAACAGATTTAAAAAAAAGGAAGATTGAACAGATTAAATTAGTGGCAACAACTCACTCACCTACATAGTATGCAGCCAGCCCCTCCTGTCATGGTGTCACGGTAAGCACAGGATGCTTCCTTATCTTTTGATTGTGGGTTGGACCATGTGACTTTGCTCTGGGAGGTGAAAAACCAATAACAAATTGGTTAACCCAAATGAAATGAACAAATTCCTAGAAATATAAAGTAGAAAGTCTGAAAGACCGATAGCTAATAAGGAGATTGAATTGATAATCAAAATTTTTAAATCAAAGTAGAACAGGTAGGTTGCTGGTTGGCAGGGAATGGGGGGGTGGAAGAAATGAGTGAATTTTTTTTTTTTTTTAGTAAATTGAATAGGGGCGCCTGGATGGCTCAGTCATTAAGCGTCTGCTTCGGCTCAGGTCATGGTCCCAGGGTCCTGGGATCGAGCCCCGCATCGGGCTCCCTGCTGAGCACGGAGTCTGCTTCTCCCTCTGACCCTCTTCCCTCTCGTGCTCTCTCTCTCTCTCATTCTCTCTCAAATAAATAAATAAAATCTTTAAAAATAAATAAATAAATAAATAAAGATTTTATTTATTTGACAGGGATACAGTGAGAGAGGGAACACAAGCAGGGGGAGTGGGAGAAGGAGAAGCAGGCTCCCCGCGGAACAGGGAGCCCGATGCGGGGCTCTATCCCAGGCCCCTGGGATCATGACCTCAGCCGAAGGCAGACGCTTAACGACTGAGCCACCCAGGCGCCCCGTCAGATGAAATTTATAGTGAAATGTACAAATCAAATTACCATTTGATTTTTTTAAAAAGATTTATTTGAGAGTGAGCAAGAGAGCACAAACGGGGGTGGGGTGGAGAAGCAGAGGGAGAAACAGACTCCCCCCTGAGCAGCGAGTCCCGGGGCTTGATCCCAGGACCCTGGGATTATGACCTGAGCCGAAGGCAGACGCTTAACAACTGAGCCACCCAGGCGCCCTTACCATTTGATGATTTTTAAAACTACAACTTTATTGGGGTGCCTGGCTGGCTCAGTTGGTGGAATATGCAATTCTTGATTTCAGGTTTGTGAGTTCAAACCCCATGCTGGGGGTAGGGTTTACTTTAAAAAAAAAAAAAAAGTACAGCTTTATTGAGATATAATTTGTACTTTATAAAGTTCACCCTTGTAAAGTGTACAGTTCAGTGGTTTTTTTGGTCTGTTCACAACGTTGTGCCTTGATCATCACTAATTCCAGAACATTTTTATCACCCCAAAAGAAACCCCACATTCATTAGCAGCCATTCTCCATTCTTCCCTCCCTCCAGTCCCTGGCAACCACTAACTTATTCTGTCTCCGCAGAATTGCCCATTCTGGGCATTTCATATATATGGAGTCACAGATGGTCTTTTGGATTTGGCTTCTTTCACTCAGCACGTTTTCAAGGTTCACCCAAGTTGTAATTTGATGGGCTTTGACCTGCATAATGAGCAGGGGCTTCTTCATCAGCATTTCTCAGAAAGGAGTCTTTACCTTTCATCAAATTCTCCAAGGGGTCTGGGACTCAACAAAGGAGCAAGGAATCTCTAAGGGAAAACTAGAACACTGGTTTCAAAGTCCACCCCTTTGCAAATACTTGCAAGGACAAATTTGCCAGGAAGAACCCACCTTTCTGCAGAAGTAAGACCTTGAGGGTAGCTGAGAGGAGCACAAGGCTTGTAGCCTTGCCAAAGAACCATCAAGGAAGGGGCTCCAGGACCTCCCAAAGGAAACAGTGGACGACCGTCACCAGAGGCACCCCGGCTTCTAAACGTTCTGGGGCCACAAAGCAGCTTACATGCAAAACCAGTAGAGGCTGGGGCAGCCTCAGCCACTCCCATGGAGGCCAACCCTAATGAACAACTGAGAAGCAGGGAGGTGGGTGGAGAACCCAGAACTATGCAAGCCAAGCCCATCTGTTGCTCAGAAAATTCTCATTCCTAGGGCACCTGGGTGGCTCAGATGGTTAAGCGTCTGCCTTCGGCTCAGGTCATGATCCCAGGGTCCTGGGATCAAGTCCTGCATCGGGCCCCCTGCTCAGCGGGGAGCCTGCTTCTCCCTCTGCCTCTCTCTCTCTCTTCCTGTCTCTTAACAAATAAATAAATAAAATCTTTAAAAAGAAAGAGAACTCTCATTTCTAGTCTTTTTCCCTGTTCTCCAGAAAAAAAAAATTTTTTTTTTTTTTTAAATCACAGCCTAGTCTGAGCCTTCTGTACCTCTAACCAGGACAAAAGAGCTCAGCCTGGCTTAGCCACACTCCTGAGAGATGGGGAGTCTGCCAAGTGAGACCCAGACACTGGGTGGAGAGATAGGATCCCTGCTCTGGCACTCCCGAAACGGAGCACGCCAGCCCTGCATTGAGAACAGTGTAATTAAAGAAATAACATTTATTTTTAAAAATAAAAGATCTGAAGCAAACAAGGTAAAGTGAGAAGATTCAACTGAGTTGAGTAGTGGGTACAGAGGTGTTTCCTCTACTCACTGTGTGATTTAAAGATTTCATTTTAAAACCATAAATGAAGAAATGAAACAGACATGTAACATTCACTCAGTCAAGTTTATTAAATTTACGGTGTGCTCAGCACTGTCCTAGGCAGTAACAGGAGAGAAATTATAAAACAAGGTATCAACTAGGGAAAAACAGACTCTGCACTATAATAATTTGCTATCATTTCCATGTTGCTTTCCAAAGAGTTCTTAGGTTGTTTTGGAGTATGTGGTCCCCCCTCTTTTTCCATGTCCCCCTAAAAGCTTCTAGCTCTGTCCAATAATGTGCCACCGTGGCTATCCCCTGAAGAACCGAGGGTGGACAGGAAGAGCGGCTTCCTGCTGAGGAGGCCGTCAGGGGCTGGTCATGGGGTCCCATGGCGGGGGAGACATGTTGAGAGGGAAACTGTCAACCCCGAGGGCTCAGGGCACTCACAGTGAATCAGAGGAAGGCCAGACTTGGGGAAGCCACAGAGAGGGCCCTGGGGCCCTCACTCACCCCCTCCCTCCCCAGGGAATGTGCTTAAAGTGCCAACACTGTAAGAAAATGATGCATAGCTATTACATGCTGCCAGGGGTGCCACTGGACTTCCCGCCTCCCTCTTTTCCTCTTGACTTGTGCTAACGCCAGGCCCTGGCACCACCAAGGCTAGGTCAGTGGGGCAGTATAGTGCCCAGTGGGGAAATGGAGAAGGTCCAATGTATAACGTATGATGCCCAAGAGGAGGCAGAGACAGAGAAGGGCGGAGAGGTATGTAGCAAAAGGGATTAGCTTGTGCTTGGCCACTGCCCCGGGCCAGAGGTTGGTTCCCGTGTAAAGGGCAGTTTGGTTCGATACAGCTAATATCAGGGTCCTAAATTTTCCCTGAGGGAACAAAGCTGCACAGCATGGGGAGGAAATTGAAGACATGCAGGGCCCTCCCTGTCCCCCCCCCGCACTGGGCACACCCTCGTGCCTGCTGTACAAAGTGCTAAGAGTACTGGTGTGTGGCAAAGGGCAGGCCCAGACCGGCCGAGCCACACCACACTTAGATGCCAGATGACCTGCAAACACACCTGCACAAAGAGCTCCATCCGCCAGGGCACGGGTGTCACTGAAGGCCCCCCCTACCTGAGTTAGAACAAGGGGCTGAGGTCCAGCTGGTGGCTCTGCCAAGGTACCTGTGCCCCTGAGGGTCAGATCATGAGGATGACACAGAGGGCACCCCAGCCAGGAGGGCAAGCAGAAGCAGCAGAGGCATGACCTCTTCCCAGTGGCAACGGGGCCAGGCAGCGGTGGCCTTGGAGGAGGAGGGGGCCCAGAAGCCAAGAGGGCACCCCCCATCTCGCCCTGCTCAGAGCCAGATCTCATCACTGCTCACACTGGACACTCGATAGATATAGCCCAGCATGGGGAGCCGGATGAAACCTGCAGGGGCAAAGATGCCCATGAGACGCAGTGAGCCTCACCGCCTGGAAGCTGGGAGAGCCCTCTCTACCCGTGGAGGCTCTGAGGCCTCTGGCAGAAGCACAAGGGCTGGGGAGCGGAGGAGGGGGGCCACAGGCCCATGTCCCAGTACCTCGGCTGGTGAGGAGGCCACCAGGCTCCGGGTCCAGCAGCTCTGGCCGGCTGTTATTCGGAGCCATCTGCCGGTCTGCTGGCTTCCCTGCTGGGTGACAAACGGGTGTGCCCAGGATGAGGAGTGTGCCTGATGGGGCCTAGGCCCTCCTAAGTACCAGCGTCTCTCTTTTCCTCAGAAGCACCTCTGAAGATAGAGTGGGGGCAGACAGAGGGTGTACCTCTGGAATCCGGAGTGAGGTCATTGAGCTGAAGGTTGGACGGGAGGGACATGTTCTCCCGTGGCAGGCGCACGTTGTTGAGTTTCAGGTTGTTGGAGTCACTACAGGGCGGACAGAGCCTGGGATATGCCCTGGCTCCAGCAGGCCCAGATTCCTGCTTTGGGGCCCATTCCAGAACGAGGGAGACGCCCGGTTTCCAGCTGTCCCCATGCTGCATCTCAGGTCGGCCCATCCAGCCCGCCCCAGGAAGTTACCTAGAGATCAGGGATGGGCGCCGGGAGGGGCCTAGGGAGAAAGAAATCACACGCTTTCTCAGGGAGCCCACCCACTTGGGGGTCTCTCCCTGTGCCCTTTCAGACCCAGGACCCTCAAGCAAGGGATCTCTCCAATGCCCAGCTTTGGCTCTGGGACAGACCGGGTTCCTGCTACCTGAGTTGCAGGAACTACCTGAGTTGCATTGGGTTTTTACCCATGGACATGCCCAGGAAGATCAGCGATGACCTGTCCTGCCAAGGCCCACGTGCTGCCCTTGCTGCTCCTCCCTCTCCTTCTCCCTGCTCCTCAGCCACCCTCACCCCCCCCACCCCCGCCCCACTGCTTTGGCCCTACCTTTGGTCTTCTTCTCTTTCCTGCAGACCAGGCAGGCCACTAAGGTGCTGAACCCCACCAGGGTGCCCAGGGCAAGCCCTCCAGCCACAACGATGCCCAGCAGCGGCACTTCCACTCGGGTGGCCAGAAGCCCTGCAAGGTGTGTCCTCTGGTTAGGTTCGAAGTGGGCAGGGCCCCCCAACTCTGAGATGCCAGAGACAAGTACTACTCTGACTTCCTTGCTCAAGGTAGCCGGCACAGCTCATTCAGAAGACTCACCCAGAGGGCACCCAGTCTTCCCATTTCTGTACTGTGATCCTGCACCCACCTGAGGCTGTGCTGGGCCAGGTGCTGGCAGTGCTCACCCGGGGCCGGAAGCGAGGCGCTGGTGACACCCACGTCGTTGGTGGCCACCACGGAGAGGTTGTGTGCCAGGCTGCGGAGCTGCAGCTGCACAGTGTGGTTGGTGAGCCAAGGGTAGTTCTGGGCATCCAGCACCAGGAAGTTGGAGGCGTTGACAGTCACCGGCCCATCCTGGTCGATCCAGGTCACATTGGCAGGTGGGTTGGCCCGCACCAGGGCAAAAAGGACAACCAGGAGGCCTGGCCCCTGAGCTTCCTGGTACTTGGCCCCGACCTGGGCAATCTCTGGTTTAACTGGTGCAAAGCAGAAGCCAATATGCTCTCACCACACCACTCAGACTCCTTGTCCTTTCCTCCCAAACCCAGAAAGGAGCCAGGAGCTTGGGCCTCTCCTCAAGGGGGCACTGGCAAACAGGACGGCTGGGTCTGCCTGAGAAGCAGCATCTCGTAGTGATTAACAGTAGAAACACTCGGGGCGCCCGGGGGGCTCAGTGGTTGAGCGTCTGCCTCGGGTTCAGGTCATGGTCCCAGGGTCCTGGGACCGAGCCCCGCATCGGGCTCCCCGTTTGGTGGGAAGCCTGCTTCTCCCTCTCCCACTCCCCCTACTTGTGTTTCCTCTCTCACTGTCTCTCTCGCTCTCGGTCAAAATATAAATAAATAAAATCTTCAAAAAAACAAACACAGTAGAAACACTAGAACCAAAATGTCTCGATTTGAATCCTGGCTCTGCCTACCAGCTGTAGGACTGCAGACATATTACCTAACCAATCTGCCGCTCAGTTTTCTCATTTGTGAAATGGGGTTAACAATAATAATTACCTCATAGGATTATCCTGAGGATAATATGAGTTAATATTTTCAAAGTGCTTAAGTGGTAAGGGGTCTATCAGACCACCTGTCTGGCGGCTGCTGGAAACCCTCGGGCAGAGAACCTCTGTCCCCGCCCACCTCAGGGGCACTCACATTGCACATTGAGGATGACAGAGGCATTAGCTGACCGGCCACTGCCGGGGTCCTGCAAGGAGCAGTTAAGCTCATGCTGGGCCCTCTGGGCAGTAACAGTGAAGGTGCTGGTGCCTCCAGAGAAGGCCTCCCCGCCCACGCTCAGCAGTCTCGAGGTGCTGGCCTCCTGCAGCTGTCCATCCAGGTACCAGGCCAATCGGGGGGTTCCAGGCCCCGCTGCCACCTGGCAGGTGAAGGCGTGCCGCTCGTTCTCCCGAAGTGCCAGCTCGGCCCAGGTCTGACCATCAATTTCTGGTGCCAATTCCCCCCAACCTGGAACACAGCAGGGGGTTCTGCGGAGAGCTGGGGGAGGGGCGGGACTGGTCTGTGACCAGCACGAGATCCAGTTACAGAAGGGCAGCAGACCAAGAGCCGGGGCACCCCGGCTCGCTCACAAGAACTGGCCGGACCGTGGGTAGGTGGCTGAGGGGAACCCAGCTCTAGTGCTCTGGGGCCTGAAGCGGGTACCCAAACCCGAGGTGAGGGGAGACAGGGGGGCTTGCCCCGAGAAGTGCTTGGCCAAAGGGTGAACGCGGGTGTACCTGAGCTCAGAAGGGCTGGCAGGAGCAGCAGTGTGTGCGGGAGGGTAGCTGGGCCTGGGGACAGCGCCATGGCGGCTCAGGCCTAGGCCCCAGGCTGCCGAAAGAAGGGGGCGGGCCTCGACGTTAGCCAGGTGACCGGAGGCAGGCTGAGTAATTCCTCCAGGAACTTACTCTCCAGAAACAAAAATAAACCGTGCACCGACACACAAATGGAGACTGACCCGCAGTGGCGAAGGCAAGGACGCCGAGCGCGAAGGCCCGAGCCCACCCAGCACGCAGCCGCCCAGCCTGCGGGCGCACAACCGGGCGCCGCCTCCCGGGGACAAACAGGCGCCGGCCCCGGGGCGCAGAGACCGCGCGCAGCCGCGCAGCCCGCACGCGGCCCGACACACACGCGCGCGCACACGCAGACTCGCGGCGCAGGGCCCCCCCGCAAAGGGACCGTCCTCCCGGCCCGTCTCTCCCTCGTCCCTTCCCCCTGCCATCTGTCGCCCCACGCCCACTTTCCACCCTTAGGGGCCTGGGCGTAAGTGGGCCGGAGCGGCGGGGGGGTCCGGGCGGTGGGGGTCGCGCGGCAACCCCGCGCCCCCCCATCCCCCCAGGGCGGCTCACCTGGCGCCCTCCCCGCGCTCAGCACAAGCGACTGCTCAGGTCTGCGGGGCGCTGCAGTCCGCGGCGGGGCCGGGCGGGGCCGGGCGGGGCCAATCAACGCCCGAGCCCGCCCGCCCGGCCCCGCCCCCACCCCTTCTCCCCCCGCCCCGTCCCGACCGCGGCGGACCGCGGAGTGCCCTGCGGCTGGACGCAGACACTGGCGAGAGTCCGGGAGAGCCAGCAGCTTTATTGGTTCGGCTCAGCGGCCGTTGCAGGGCCCGCGCAGCTGCCTCATCACGTCGGCCAGCATGCGGTTGCACAGCGCGGCGTAGGGGTTGAGCAGCACCAGCTGGCGCCGCGCGAACGAGCTGCCCAGCCGCGCCGCCCGCTCGAAGTCCCCGCGGGCGTCGTCGTCCCGGCCCTGCAGCCGCGCCAGGAGCCCGCGCTGCACGAAGCCCTGGCGCGCGGCGCGGCCCCGGCCGCCGCTCAGCGTCACGGCGCGCTCCAGGTCCTCCAGGGCGCCTGCGGGAAGGGCGAGCGGGCGGGTCAGGACCGCGGGCCCGGGGCCCCGGGGCCCCGGGGCCCCGGCCCCCCGGCCCCCCACAGCCCGCCTGCCCTTGCTCGGCAGCTGGGCACCGTTCCTCCCATCACACCGAGGCCGACTGGCGAAGCTGGCAAGACCTGCGCTGGGCTGCCCAGCCCGTCTATAGTGGCAGAGCTGAGAGTCCCTATTAGCTTTCAGGATCCAGGACACCAGAACACCACGGGTGCTGGGGCGATTTTGAATGGTCACTATGTTCATGAATCCGGCCCACTGTCCAGCAGTGGTAGAGGCAGCATATTCCACTCGGACGCTGTTTAGCATCTACCCTGTGACAGGGGACTGACTCTGAGTCTGAGAGTCTTAAAAAATTATAATGTACTGATAACCATTTCTTACAAATAAAATTCATTTCTCTTTCTTTTCCTTTTTGCAGGCATTTCTCTCCTCTCATTCATTGTATGCTTTAAACCTTTTCTCCCTCTGACTGCCTTTCCTCATTCTTCATCTCCATGATCTTCATTATATTGTATACAAATGCAATATTTTGTGTTTCATTAAAGGAGATCTTGGAGCCAGAGCTGGCCCCGGACATGGACATTGTTATGTTTATCGTTCTCATAAAATACTTGGATTGGGCATTAGAACTCTGAACTCAAGCTCAGGCAGCCAGCTGGTATGTACCTTAGAGCCCAGCTGCAATTCTTCTGGGCTCTGCCTCGGTTCACTCCTGCTCTCTAGTCGGAAGAGCTGTCAGGGTCTTGAGGAACTCCAGCATCATCCTACAGAGAGGCCTATCTCTGTCCTGTCTCTGTGTGTTTTGAGCCCAGAACCCAGCAGGGGCTGTGCTCCCCAGGCCACCCAGATGGTTAAGAAGCTCTCTGATCACAGCGGTTCTGGCTTTCCCTCCGAGGAGCTGGTCTGGAGGAATTGAAAACCTTTTCCAGGCAGCATCAGTCACCTCTGTTCCTCTCTGGGGTTTTGGTCTGCAGACTGTCCTTGGCTGCTTTTACAGCCTGGCCCAGCCCAGCCCAGCCCTGCCCTGCCCTGCCCTGCCCTGCCCCAGCCAGGTAACAAAGCCAGGAAAAGGGGCCCATGGTTCCCCACTGTTCCCAGAGTGGAGTCCAAAGCCCCCAGACTGGCGTTCCTTCACATCCGTCTGCCCTCTGGTCCCCAGCATGGCCTTCTCTGTCCCATTGTCCCCATTCCAGAGTAACCCAAGTGCAGCAGGTTTGATCCAGTCCCTCCCCAGTTAAAATCCTTTAACGATTCACCATGTTTTCAAGACACAGTGCAACCTCTGCCTAACATTCCCGGTTCTTCACCATCAGGTCCCTATTTACTTCTCCAGGCTCTACTCTACCCTTTCACCCCTCCGCGTTCCAGCCAGCATGGAGATCTGAAGTTCCCTATACTTTTTCATGCCTCTGGGACTCTACAGGCTCCCACTCTGCCCCCTCCATCCAGCTACCTCCTACTCATCCTTTCAAACTCACCCCTCGGGGCACCTGGGTGTCTCAGGCCTCTGCCTTTGGCTCAGGTCGTGATCCTGGGGTAGAGCCCCACATGGGGCTCCCTGCTCAGCAGGGAGTCTGCTTCTCCCTCTCCCTCTGCCCCTCCCCCTACTCTCTCTCTCTCTCAAATAAATAAATAAAATCTTTTAAAAAATTAAAAAGAAAACTCACCCCTCAGGGGCAGATACCACACTGAACCCTCTCAGCTTGTTAGACACATAATCACAATTATGTGTCTGTCCTACCCTCTGGACTGTGAGCGTTCAGAGCACAGACTCAAGCCCTGCCACCTGGTTCAAATCCCAGCTCTGCTCCAGGTTCTTCATCTGTAAAACGGAGGTTACAATAGCACACACCTTTTGGGGTGGTAGTGAGGATTAAATGAGTTACTATAGCTCACGTGGAAAGTGCTGGATGCCTGGCACGTAGTAATTGCTCTAAGTAGTCTGTCTTGCATCTTTGTCCTCAGCGCCCAGCCCACTGCTACAATAGTAGACTCCCATTAAATGTTTGTTAAATAAACGAGTGGAATGCAATCTCTTCTGATTTTCACAATTGCCCCAAGAGATTAGCAGGGCCCGTAAGGTATCTCTTATAAGTAAAAACATAGGTTCCAGAACAGTTTAGTGACTCCCCAGCCCCACAAGCACTTCATCTCTGGTCCGTGGACTCCAGGGCCCCCCTGCAGAAGCTCCAGGGCGTCTCCCCTCACCTGCCACATCTCCTTGGAGTCGGCGGGCCTGGGCCCGGTTGTTGTAGGCAGAGGCCCTCTCAGGCAGCAGGTTGATGGCTTGGCCAAACCTCTCCAGGGCTGTGCTGAGGTCGCCAGCCTCCGCGGCCATCACCCCCTGCAGCTCCAGGGCCTTGGACTGCTCCAATTGTGCTCGCGGGAAAACTCCATCTGTGTTGGGGAGGGAGCCAGGAGGGGACAGTTACGCAGTTGGGAGCAAGAAGCAAAAGCCCCCTTTGGCTTTAGAAAGCTGGGGCCTGAGTGGGAGCCGACTGGGCTGGGATGTGGGTCACAGAAGGAGTCGGATGCAGTGTCGTGGGCAGAGGGAGCTGAGGTCACCAAGGCTGAGAGCTAGCACTAAGTTCCAAAGGGACCTGGGAAAGGGACTTTGGTCGGCTCATTGCCAAGAGAATGAAGCCCAAACTCAGCCCATAGCTAAATGCCTTACTCAAGGTCACACAGCTCCTAAATGCACAGCTTGGATTGGAACCCAGGTCTTCCAGGCTCCTTAGCCTGTCCCCATTTTGTTCTACTATTCTGCCTCCAACATGGAGACCACCGAGACACACTTGGGTCATGAAAATCATGTCAGCTTTTCAGACTGAAGTTTCCGTAAGACCTAGGCTTCACTCCTTTAGAAACAGAGGTCATCAAAAACTCCTGATGGGGGTGGGGGTGGCGCCGGGCTGGCTCAGTCAGTAGAGCATGCGACTCTTGACCTCAGGGTCATGAGTTCAAGCCCCATGTTGGGCATAGAGCCTACTTAACTAAAACAAAAAACTCCTGATGGAGATATAAGGCCCCATTAGAGACTGAAGGAAGGGCCAGGGAGTGCATTCACTCTGTGGAGGGATTAGCTCAGGGCTGGGCTTGTAAAGGTGTGTTAACACTGAGGGCTTGCCTAGGTTCTTCACGCTGAGGTGGGAACAATTCAACTGAGCCACCCCTGCCCTTCCATTCTGTGTGGAGTGAAACGCCCTGTCATGACAAAGATGTGAGTTGAGCATCGACCCCCACCTTTCCCCCAGCACACTTGAGCTTGGATTATGGGGTGGGTTAAGTGGTGAGGTTAAGTTCAGAGGTATGAGGGCTGAAGGACAAACTGTGACTTGCTCCTTTTGGCAGAGTAACTCCACCAGTGCATTAAGGATCAGCCAACCTCTCGCATTCCGACCTTAACCATTGTCCAAGGGTCACGGAACAAGGGGCCTCGTGAGACCACCGTCCCTCTGCCACCCGGGTGAGGCCAGCCGGTGCAGAGCGCTATAGTCCCAGGTCAAACTCACCTTCATCTACGTCTTCCTTCTCCACCTCCTCTCCCATGTCCAACCCAACAAGGTCTCCAAATGGGTTGTCAGGGTTGAAGATGGCCTGCAACACTGCCTGGTCATTTGGAGTCCCCATGGTGCTCAACTCCCAAGTCCCTGAAGGTGACTCAGGACAGAGGAGGGAGGAAGAAGGGGTGGGGGCTGAGCCTCACAGCCAGTTGATCTAGAGGGCAGAGGTTCTGTTTAAGGTCCATCCCCCATGAGGAGTGTCTTCCGTTCCTTGGCTGTAGTGTAAACTCAACGTCATTTGGCCTGGGGTTAGCAATCCTGGCTTGGCAGAATATTTACAATAGTTCTTAACTGCCTTCCCACCCCCACCCATCTTAGGGGGAAGAGAGTAAATGAATCCAATTTCTGCCTTAGGGG